CCATAACACATCGGTGGATCTTTTCCCAGAGCTCCGCGTGCGTGCCCTGCGGCGCTGGATGTCCGTCGATGATGCTTTGGAACCCATCGACCACCGCCTGGTTGTCCACGAAAACGTGCACGGGCCGTTCGGCACATGCCGTAAGGTGGACAATGGCGAGGGTCTCCGCAACCTGGGCGTTCTGCGTTAGGCCGTGAACGCGTGCACTGTAGTTCATGCGGTGGTCGATGCCGTAGTAGACGCCGTAGCCCGCTCGTGCTAGCAATGGGATAGCTTGGTTGGTACATGCACCGTCCGTGGCAGCGTAGACCCATGTCCAACCAGTGTCGTAGTCAAGGTAGGTGGTGTAGGTGTCCTGGGCTGAAGCCGCAGGATCTCCCTCAGGGGGGGGCCGCGGCATGGGCTGTGGCAGCGGGTCCCTCGCGAGGTCGGCCTGCAGGTCGAGGAGGGCTGGGTCTTCGTCGAAGAGCCCGCAGTGTCTTGTGTGCGGCGGAAGACGGGCCCACTGGTCGTCACTGATGAGGGTGGTGAGAGGGAGTCTTTCTCGGGCCCAGCACTTGCAGTCGCGGACAGTGTGCTCCTGAGTTTCCTCTTCCTCGTCGCAGTAGCGGCAGATGGGGCTGGGGTCTGCCGACGTGTTTGATCGGGATCGTCGCTGTTGGGTGTGATCCCCGCCCGACAGGTAGTTCAGGAGGAGCGCCAGCTGCCAGGCAGTGCATTTGGCTGCTCCTTTAGTTCGGGCGAGCCACGTGCTGGCGAAGAGGTCAAGGCCCTGTCTGACAGAGGCTAGGTAGCCAAGGTCGTGTCGCCGTGGCTTGATCCTCCGCAGAAATGCCCTGCGTTGTGAGGCCCGCAGCATGTGCAGGAAGGCGTTTTGGGGTAAATTCAGCCAGCTGATCTGGCAGCCCCAGTCGTCGTACATGATGCCAAATGTGGGCCAGGTCCATCGGAGCTGCTGGAGCGACTGGACGAGTCGTCCGACGGGTCCTCCACCAAACAGGGTCTGGACGTGGTGTTGGAGGTCTCTGGCGAGCCCGCAGAGTGTAACGTCGCGGTTAACCTGTCGCCGCAGGCACAGGAATGCTTCACGCTGCGTGATGGCGTCGATCTCCAGGGCGTGTCCTGGGACGCACACGGCCATGAGAGTCCAGAACTCGACCCACTTGTTCCCCTTGGGGCGGATAGCCGCCTTGAGGGCGTGGTTGTAGGCAGTTTTGGCTGGGCCTGATGGTGCTTGAATGTCGGTGCCCGTGGTGCAGACGCTGGCAGCCAGGGAACGGGCGTGCCGCGCCTTGATAAGCATCGGCGATGGGAGCTTGCCAATGCGCGGCAGCCGCGCTGCGTCGTGCCCAGCGCCGCGTGCATGAGCGCATGGCGTTTCGGCGCGCGCTTCGAACCAATGGCGCCCCATGACGCGTTGAAGCGCGCAGCGAGCTGCGTCGGCGCGGCTCTCGCCCGCGCGAGCAGGGGCGCGCGCTGCCCCGAGGGGCCGCCCAATGAGGGATGAAGGGTAGAGGGGGATGAGGACAGGGGGCAGAGGAGGGGGGGGGGCGGGGGCACGGAGGAGCGAGGGATATGGGGGGCAATGGACAGCGGAGGGGGGCGGATCAGAGGAAGCAGCGGCGCCTGGAATGACATGTTCCTGCGCTCGCCCCCAGTCACGGAAATGCACGTTGAAATCGCTTGGCCAGCGGATGCAAGCGCGCGCCCCCTGACCCCAAGGATGCCCACGAACTCCCTTGCCAACCCCGGGGCAAAGGGCAGCGGCATTCGAGATTCACCCCCTTTGATTTTCAGGCAAGGCTGACGCCGTTTGCCCAACATCTTAGTAGTTCTCTTCCTTATGGTGGTGATGGGCTTAGTCGGGTCTGCGGCCTTGAGGGCCATGCAAAATGTGTTGGGTTTCTTCCTCAGCACCGTCGGACCCAGCTCGAACCTGTCTTTCTTCGTGGCGCCCCGAGTGTTGAACGCGCCCCTGTCTAGAATATCCACGATCACGCGGCCGTGGCAATGCTGCAATATGCCCAGGTCGATTGCGCGTAGCACGCAGTCGACGAAGCCATCGACGGAGAAGAGATCGACCCCGAACCCCCATATACCATCGATGTGGAACATCGCACTCACCGAATTGATGGTCGGCCGTTTACGTGGGCGAAAAAAACAGCACCTCGCAAGGCGCCCCGAGGCCCTCCAGATCATGCGCGGCAGCGACGGGGCCCCCGATGGAGAGCTTGTCGCCATGCTTGAGGCCCCAGGCCCGCCCGCGGGTCCTCTGGACAGCGCGCCCCCACGGGCGCGACTGCTTGCGCGCGAGCGCCGCGCAGAGACGCTGCAGTTCCAGCGGGGTCTCCACTCGGGCCCAAATCAAGCGCGAGCGCAGCTCAGCCTCGCAGGGCGCCTGGGCCCCTGGATCATGGCCAACTAGCCCCCGCGCCCCTCCCCCACGCAATTGGCAACGGGCAGGGCGGGCGCGGGGGTGACGGGGCGGGGTGGCGCGGGGAGGGGGGGTGGGGTGGGGGGCGGGGAGGGGGGGGGGCGCCTGCGCGCGCGCGCGACGCGTGCCCAAATGCATCGACGAGGGCGCTTGGGAAGTGGAGGGCCCCGGCGCAGTATTTTTCCCCGAGCTGGGTTCAGCCGCGGCGACGACGGGCGCCCGTGCAGGAGAACCGAGAAGGCCTGAAATGAGCCTCGGGGCTCGAGAGCCTCTGCCCACCGCCGCCGCCGCCTTCCTCCGTCCTCCACCGCGCCCCCATCCTAGCCCCGATTGCCCGCGGCGCGCTGCGAAGAGCGCACCCCGCGCGCCCGCGATGCATCTGGGCAGGCCGTGCCGTGCAGCGTGCGCGGCCTCCCCCAGGCCTGCCGCTGCCGTTCTCTCTGGGCATGGCCAGGTAGGCAATCGCCCGCCCCGGACGCCGCGCCAATCTCACTCGGTAAGAACGGCGCGCCGTCGCGCCTGGGGGGGCGGAGGGGGGCGCCGCGCAAGCAAGCGACCGACCGTCGCCGCCGAGCCCCCTCTCGGCCTCGCCCTCCACCCGCCTCGCCCGCCACCCATTCCACCGCCCCCCCCCCCTCCAACCCGAGCCAATGCCTCAGTCGCCCCATCGCCCCCCCCCATTATATATATATATATATACATATACACATATATATATATATATATATATATATATATATGGGGAACAAATCGCCCCCATGCACCGCGAATTGGAGCCCGCGCCTGTCGGAGGGCAGCGCGCCCCACTAGGCCAAATTAACAGCCCAATCGGCTGCGATCATGAGCTGATCTGCGGCGCGCAGCCCGTTGCACCCGCACCTGCAAAGTTGAGTGCCGAGCGCTACCCAGACAGTCCACCGACGCCGCCTAAATGTCGGCCCAAATGAACAACGAGCGAACTTGTCCTTCTTCGTAACTGCCACTTTGTCTGCGTAGGGGATGACGGGGGCGACTGAGCCGTCCGCTTGGGCAAGAACGATAGGGTGCGACGTGTACTGGGCGATGCGGTAGTCCTCTGGGCCCAAAGCCCCTAGGTCGAATTCTTGAGGCGTCTACTCCCAGCAAAAGTGCAACAACTCAACGCGGGGGCGGATGGGCATCATCATAGACCCACGCACATTCCTACCAGCGTTGTAGTCGGGGACGTCCGCATAATACAGACCTCGCTTAGGCCCCTAACCCCGAGCGCCGTTTGAATCTTACGGCTGTGGTTTGACCCGCGGGGCTCGAGGGGCACGGCGATTTGTTCCAGCCCTCGACCTCCCGCATCACCTACAAGTTGGGACAGGGTCGCCAAATCTTTCGAGTTCCAGAGACCGCTGCTCCACTTCGCGGCACAATGCCGAAACAACTTGTCTTCATGGCCTCCAGGCTCGCACCCCGGCGCGGCCCCGTCAGGCGCGGCAGCGGTGGCGCTGGCAGAGGCCGCAGCAGCACTCACCAGGGCGGCCTCCGCAACATCGCCAGTCGAGTCGCCCCCATCGGGAGGCGGCGCAAAACTAAACAACGCTTCAGACGCTGACATGTTGCTTAAACACGAAACGAACTGACGCATTACACCGCGGTGGGGGCGAGGGGCTGGGCCGAAAGCAAACGCATTCACCGCGCCGTCGGCCTCCCTCGCTGCCCGGCGATTCGGGCGGGCCCGCGGCCAAAATGGCCTTCGCCGCGGGCGCGGCGCGTCTGGGCAAGAGGCGCACCGCCGCAGACAACCTACACAATTCCCCCCCCCCCCCCCCCTTCGCCCACCGCCGACCCCGCCCACCTCCCGCGTCGCCCCCCCCCCCCCCCCGCTCGCCCCATCGATCGAAGCAGCTTCCCCCTCGGGTCCGTCGAGCAATCGGGGAATCGTTTCAGTGGGCCCCATCTTGGCCCCGACGGCGCCCCCAAGGGCACCTCACCTCGTCGCCCTTGCCCCCCGCCCTCACCGCCCCCCCCCCCCCTCGCCCCTCGCGCGCCGCGCGCGCTGCTGCCGCGCCTCGCCGCCCGCGCCGCCGTCGACCGCGGGGTCGGCGATGCCGCCGCTCCCCCGCGCGGCGTTCGAGCACGGGGCGCGCTCTTTTTTTTGCGCGTGGATGCGGGTGCCACGGAAGCGGACGATGCCGGGGGGGGCGGGGGGGCGATTGGCGAGGGGCCCGATTGGGGACAGGGAGAAGGTATAAAGGGGGAGAAGAAGGAATCGGACGCAGAGGAGCGCGGAGATGAATATGGCGAGGAAGGCCAGGAGGAGGAGGAGGAGGGCAGAGGCTTACGAGGAGGAAGCGGTCGAGGGGGACGATCAGGACGCGAGAAGGAGGGGGGGGGGGGGAGGGGGGGAGGAGGAGGAGGACGGGGGGGAATAGTGCGAGGGGGGGGGGGGGGCTGGACGTGGATGGGGGTCTCGAGGAGGTCGCGGGATGAGGCTGGGCGGTAGATGAGGAAGCTGAGAACTGCATGCTGCGGCGCAGCACCTCTCGGTGCATGAAATGACGGCTCGGCCTCTGCAAAAGTTGCTCCCGCGCTTGGTTTACTGGCCCTGGCCCCGCGTGTCCACGTCGGCCGAGACTGGTTGCGAAACCTCGACAACCGCCAGCTCGAACTCACGAGAAGTGGCATCACTCACACAAGCTAGCGCGCTCAGGCAGCATGCGGGGTCGGCGGCGCCGTCGGAGCGGACGTGGCCCCGGCGCGCTTCGCGCCCCTGGTAGGCGGGGTTCACCTCCACGGTCTGAACCCTCGCGGCGTGCATGCGCTGCAACAGGATCAACGCGGTGCTCGGCGAAGTGGACTGGACCTTGACCAAGTCCATCATCGAGTGCAGGGCGTCCGATGCCGACTGCGGGTTCTCCTCGTGGTCTTTCATCAACTCCCCGAACGATTTCAAGAGGATCCCAGCCTCCACGTTCGCCAACGCGGCGGTGACGGCCCCAGTGCTCTCCGACGCCGGCGCGTTGAGCGGCTCGCACTCGTCGCGCGCCCAGCGCCAGTCCGACTTGTCCGACTTGGACGCCTCGGCGATCGACTGCCCCTGCGAGGAAGGAGGAATCGGGGCAGCAACGACGACGACGACGACGCAGGTGAGGCGACACATGAGGAACCAAACGCCTGGCCATGCAACGCCTTCAGCTTCTTCGCCTCCGCGAAGACGGTCATGTGGAGCTTCTGGTGCGCGGGCTTCTCGGCGCTCGGGGGGGCGGCTGCGTCGGCGACCTCGGCGGCGGCGGCGGCCGCCGCCGCGACGCCGGCCGCGTCGGCCGCGGCGGTGGCCTGGGCGCCCTGCTGCAGGAGCGTCTGCGAAGGCGACCGTCGTCGGGCGGGCGAACTGCTGCGAGTCGACGACGCTCTGCGACTTGTCGAGGCCTGCCACCGCGGCCCGCGCCGTCTTGGCCCCCGACGTCGGCGCCGCCGCTGGCCGCGCTGGAGACGGCGCGGCCCCCGCTGGCAGCGTCTGGGGCGAGGGCGCAGTCGGGCGCGGCAGCGCAGCAGGCGCGGGCACCGCCGCCTCCAGGGCGCCCGCGCTCTCCACGTCGACCATCGCCTTGGCGAGCGCATTGGCGGGGATCTCGCGCTCGAGGCCCCCGTCATTGGCCTCGGCCAGCGTCTCCTCCGACGCCTCGAACTCTCCGCTGATCGCCCCGGACTTCTCGGTGCTAACGCTCGCCATCGCGCCCTTCCGAACGTTCAGGACTTCGAGCCCCTCGGCCCAGCTGTTCCAGAGCACGCGCGGGGGGCCCGCCTCGTGGCACTTGGCCCAGATCTTCGTGGCGGACTTGAGCGCGGTCTCTTTGCATGCCGCGGGCCCGCGGGAGGTTGGGCCAGTTCATGCGCCGGCCCTCCGACGCGTCAACGGTCTTCTCGGACTCCGTCTTCGCCTGCGCGCCCTTGACGTTCGTCGCGCGCTCGGCCCCCCACTTGAGCCTGAACTGATGCTTGGCCTGGGGGCCCTTGCAAGCCTTGAGGGCGCCCTTGTGTTTCTGGTCGGCGTAGCGGCGGAAGCTCTGCGACAGCCTCTCCTGCGTGAGCGCTCACTTGACCTTCTTGGCCACAGGCTCGCCCTCGGCGAGCACAGGGGCCGCGGGCTCGCCCTGGGGCGCCATGCTTGGAGATTCGCGCACGGGCGCGAGCTGGCCTCTGGGGGCCAAGGCGACGCGGTGGCAAAGCGCCCCGACCAACCCTTCGAACTGCGAGGGCACAGATGGGGAGAGGACGAGGCAGGCGCGGGGAGGGAGCACCCCCGCTGCCACTCGGCACGGGGAGGGCGCGGGGAGAGGAGGACCCGGCGCGGAGAGGAGGGGCGGCGTTTCCGAAATCCATCAAAATTCGATCAAGAATCCATCAAAAATCCATCGTCATTAAAAACCACCAAACATCATCACAAATCCATCAACAATTCATCAAATATCCATCAGAAGACCATCGCTGATGGATTTCCGATGGCCCCCAGGGGCCCGGATCCTTCGACCGAGGGCGATTTGGATGTCGGGCCGCCGCCGCCCCCTCGCCCCGCTCCGCCGCCCCTCGCTTGGGCGGGGCGCGCCCGCGACGCGCCGCCCATAGACAAACGCGAATGATGGGCGTGCAAGTAGCTGGAGCAGAGCGGACTTGGAAAAGCTGGAGTAGAGCGGATTTGGAAACTTGAACCTCATGCGTGAGAGTGATCGCGGGATCAGGGCCCCGCGGCGCCTTTGGGCCATTCCTAGGGCCACCTCAAGGGCGAGGCCGTGGACAGCCTCACTGGCGGCGCTGTCCAAAAACAACACTTTTTGACAGCTAACAAGCCAGATGCCCACCGCCGGACCTGCCCTCCTGCAATGCGCGCCAGCGAAGTCCCACAGTCAGCCTGGCAGCCCCGGCCACGCAAGTAAAGCCAAGGGCTCTCTACATCGGTCATTGTCTGCGAACGCTCTGAGAAACGTAACGCATGTGTCATCATTAAAGGGCAAATAGACTAGAAAAAGAGAGCGGGGTGGAGTGGTTGGGGGGGGCGATGGGGGGCGGAGGGGGGGCGGGGGGGGGGGGGGGGGGGGGGGGGAGGGGGAAGATGACAAGTTGGTGCCCTCGCGTCAACATCTGACATCCTACCCCTCCCCCCCACCCCTTGCCGTGGCGCTGATTTTCTTTATCCGCGGACGCGTGTCGTAGCGGACCTGTGGCTCCGCGCGCGTGTGCGTAGTGGGTGGTGGTGCGCGTGCGTGCGTGCGCGTGTGCGTGGTTGTGGTTGTTGTGGTGGTGGTGGTGTGCATGTGTGTGTGTGCGCGTGTGCTGTGGTGTGACGTGGTGTGGCGTCTTGGTGGTTTGGTGGTGGGCCAGGTGCGTGCGTGCGTGATGGCGGTGGTGGTGGTGGCGGTGGTGGTGGTGGTGTGTGTGTGTGTGTCTGTGCGTGTGCGTGTGTGTGTGTGTGTGTGTGTGTGTGCGTGTATGTGTGTGTGTGCGTGTGCGTGCGTGCGTGTGTCTCTGCGTGTGCGCGCGTGTGATGTGGTGTGACGCGGTGTAGCGTGGTGGTGGTGGGTGGGGTCGCGCGGTGGCGGTGGCGGTGCGCGGTGGTGGCGCGCGTGCGCGCGTGCGTGCGTTGGCGGGTGGAAGTGGCGGCGGGCGTGCGCGCGGCGGGGCGGGGCGCGGCGCGGCGCGGCGGTGGCGGGCGGATGGGCGCGCGAGAAAGAGGCCCGCGCTGGGGCGAGAACGCCATCCTGAACGACGGAGGCAAAACGCCGATCCGAAAATGAGGCCCACGCTGCAGCGGGGGCGCGATTCGGAACGATTCGGGGGCAGAAATGAGGCCGGCGCCCCAGCGAGAGCAGCATTTGAGAAAAAGAAAAAAAACGCCGGCGAAAACCCAGCTCCCGGGAATCCTTCGCGCATTAAAAAAACAGCACGCGGGTGGGGGGTCGAATGTTCCCAGGGCGCCATCAGGGGAAGAGGGAGAGTAGCATTCATATTGAGTAATTGTGGAGGGGAAGGAGGAGGAGGAGGAGGAGGGGGAGGGGGAGGAGGAGGAGGAGGAAAGAAGGAGGGGGAGGGGGTAGGAAGGAGGGCGAGGAGGAGGAGGAGACGAATGGGGGGCGAAGAGGACGGGCGAGGGCGAGATGGGGGATAAGGAGGAGGAAGGAAGGAAGGAAGGAAGGAGGAGGGAGGGGGGAGGGGGAAGGGGGGGGGGGCGCAGAATGAAGAAGAGGGAGGATGAGGAGGTATGAGGAGGAAAGGAGGAGGTGGGGCTATGACAAAGAAGCGGATCACGGCCACGCACATATACCACCCGGGCCCAGTCGGCTCAACAAAAAACACCCCCAGCCGAAAGCCGCTGCGGCCTTTGCCCAAGTTTTTGATTGCTGGGCCCTAAGGGTCTTGAGGGTCACGGGACATATGTGCTTTCCCTCATCGTCATCGTCCTCCTCATCCTTCTCATCCTCCCCCACCTCCTCTTCCCTTTCCGCGTCCGCATCCCTCAAACGACCTTTAGATCAGGCGCCTCCTCTGTTTCCTCATCGCCATCCCCCTCTCATCCGCCTCCCCCCCCCTCAAATTCCCCTGCTCCTGCTCCTGCTGCCGCTGCTCCCTCCTCCACCTCATCCTCGCCCCCCCCCCCCCCCCCCCCCCTCCCCCTATCCCCCCCCCCCCCCCCTCTCCCAATGCCATCGACCCCTTCCCATGCGTTGGCCCCGCCGCGGTAACTCCAGGCGCCGCGGGCAGCTCGTGCTCCTCAGCCGCGGGGCTGCGCGCCCGGTCCACGCCGCGCTCCGCCTCCGCCAGCCACGTGATTCAAGTCTCCCGCTTATGGCCAGGTTCGCGATGTCGCTCGCGCGCCCGGCATTGGCGATCGCGCGATCGCGCGCCGCCTCCGCGGCCACGAACTCGGGAGTGGCCGTCCAGGCGGCGTTGAGCGCGGACGCCATGACGGCGTCGGTCTGCGCGAGTTCGGCGCAGGCTGTGGCGACCGCGCGCCAGCGGCGCCTCGCTATGCACCCAGCGATCAAGCCACTGGCATCGGAGTCCGACGCGGATGCCGCGGCCCCCCGCGCCATGGACCGCGCCCGCGGCATCGGCCCCCCCCCCCCCCCCCCCCCTCTTCGGACGCGGCCATCGGCCGTGTCGTTGCCTTCGCCGACGCCCCGCGCAAGCCGCGGGCAACCGCCCTCGCCGCGGTCGCGGGCAGCCGTTTCGGCTGCGCCCCATTGGGCCGCTTCGCTTGCAGCAGCGGTTGCGAGGGCTCCGCGACCTGCTGCTTCGGCGACGGATTATCCGCTGCCTGCGCTCGCGAGCGCGCCATCGGCTGCGCGCGGCCGCGATGCGGCCCGCGCCGCCTAAGGTGCCGCCGCCTGGGCGCGCGGCGGCGAGGGTGGCAGCGCCGTTTTCGGCGCCGCCGCCTGAGCGCATGAAGGCGCCTCTGGCGCACGCAGCCTCTGCAGCCGCTGCCTGAGCGCGCGAAGGCGCCGTCGGCGCAGCCTCAGCAACCGCGGATTCGGCCCCCGTCGGCGCCTTCGGCGCGGGCGATGCCGCGGGCGTTTGCCCCGACCCAGCGGCGCGACGGCGCGGCGCCCGCGCCCCCGCCGACGCGGCGCGCTGCGGGCCCGCGGCTTCCATCGGCGCCGCCGCCGAAGCGGCTGGCACCGCCGCGGCAGATTGTGAGCGAGCAGCCTGCTACGCGAGCGACTGGCCCGCCGCAGGAGCACGCGGCATAGCCGCAGCATGGCCCGATGGAGCCGCAGGTGGACGCGGGAGGGCTTCGCCAGGATGAGCCGATGGAGTCGAATGAGGACGCGGCAGGTGCGTTGCCTGCACCGACGGAGTCGCAGGAGGGCGCTGCAGCGCCGCGGCCTGAGCCGACGGGGCAGCAGGATCCACATCAAGAGGCGGGGCCGAAGCCGCCTCGATGCCTCCGCCGATGCCGCGGAGCATGCGGCTCCCGCCTACCAGCCCCCCCACATCAGTTGCGCTCCCTTTCCGCTTGTTTTCGCCATCCGCCCCCCCAAATCCGTTCTCCTCACCCCTCCTCATCCTCACCCTCATCAGCATCATCATCACCATCATCAGTTCCTCATACCAGCACGATGGGCTATCGAAGCTACCTCCAGCTTGGTTTGAAGATCGGGAGGGCCCCCCCTCGCCCTCCTCCTCCTCCTCCTCATCTTCCTCCCCATCCGCATCACCGCCATCGCCCTCATTCGCTGCGTCCACCCTCCTCCTCCTCCCCCCCTTCTCCCCCTCGTCCTCCCCCCCCCCTCCTCCTCCCCCCCATCCACCTCCGCCTCGCCCACCGCCATCCACCTCCTCGCCATCCATCTCCTCGCCCGCGTTCGCCACGTCGCCTTCGCCCTCGCCCCATCCAGCCACCCCCTACATATTCCTCGCGCCATCATCGGGCCACTCCTTGGGGCGCGAGCGGGCTGGGCGGAAAGCTGCCTCTGCCCACCGCCGCCTCACGGCTCGCAGGGGAGGGACACGATCGGGCGCGCGCTGTCCAGGAAGCCGATCTGCAGGGCGGGCGCGGGGGAAGGGGGGGCGGCGGCGCGCAGAGCAAGTACGGGGGCGGAGGCGGGATGGGGATCGATGCACCCAAGAGCCCTCGGCAGCGCCAGTGGGCTCCCATCCCCCGCAGGAGAGTGCGACTGAGCTGGGTGGGGCGGGTGGTGAGGCATGGTGGGGAAGTGTGGGATGCCTACTTCCCAATCCTCCTCCTCGTCATCCACAATTGCTCAATTT